GCCCAGTGTCCTGAGCTCAGAGAATTAATTTGTGACAGATCCAGGTGAAGTGAGGGATATTCCCAGAAAGCTCCCAGCTGTCCCTTGCTGGACGACACCGTCAACCTCCGATCACACGCTCACCCTGCACCAGAGGGTTTTTTCCCTTGTTGAAAAAGACTAGATATTTTTAGGCCTTTTTTTTTTTTTTTTTTAAGTTTTCCATTTAAAAACTGTCAATATTTTCTGTTTTTTGACTGGCAATCTAGTCCAAGGTCAAACCAACCTCCTGCATTACCGTTCAGTCCTGCCAGCACTTGCCTGCATGTGAAACCCTACTTGTCCTTTGCTCATGTGGGAGAATTTCACGTGGATTTAGCACTTGGGATTTTCAGTGTTTCGAGCACTGAGAATCAGTATGAAAAGCTAATATTTGACTTTGCAGCTTCACTTTTGTTTCTCTCATTTTTTTTTTTTTTTTTTTTCCTCTCCAGAATAGGTGGATTAATTCAAACTCATGCAACTCCCTGATGTGTCAGTGCGGAGAGGAAAAAAAAAAAAAAAAAAAGAAATGTTTTTTTCAGCCCAGGAGGAAATCAGTGATGACGCCTCCACCCTGACACTGCATCTGCCATCCAGGGACGGAGGATTTGGGTTAGGTTTGGCCCTTTCTCATCAGATCCAAACCCACCGCTGCCGTGTCCCCCCCCCCCCCCCCAGCCCATTGCCCGGTGGTTGATGCTCGGAGGGGGGGAGCAGGAGCATCCCCTCCTGGTCCAGCCCTTCCTTTCCCGGCGGCGACGGGGCTGGCCGGGGCACTGACCCCAGCGCCGGGGAGTCTGGAGCGGAGCTGGCGGCCGCCGCTCCCCGCCATCAGCCCACACCTCATCAATAGGGGCTGACAGCCCCGGCCTCGCCGCCCCGACGGCACCGCCGACGGCACGGCCGGGGTGCACGCAGGCAGCACCCCCCCCCCAAATTGGGGTCTGAGGTGCAGGCAGGCAACCCCCTTAATCCGGGCTGTAGGGAGACCCGTGGTTTCAGGATACGGGCGGCTACGGCGGGAGGAGTGTGGGGAGGGCTGTGGGTCGAGGTACAGGCAGCCCCGTGGGTCTGGGGTGCTGGCAGGGCTGTGGGTCGGGTCACAGGCAGCCCCATCGATCTGGGGTGTGGGCAGCTCCGTGGGTCAGGACACAGGCAGCCCCGTAAATCCAGGGGGTCCGGGCATCCTCAGGGAGTACGACCTGCCCCGTGGGTCTGGGAGACGGGCAGACCAAGGGGTCCAGGCAGTCATGGATCTGGGGGGGGAGGGACTTGGGGGGGGTACAGGCAGCACCACTTGTCAGAGGGTGTGGGAAGCCCCACAGGCCTGGGGGGCACAGGCAGCCCCATAGCTGAGGTGGTACTGACAGCCCCACGGGTCCAGGCTCAGCACACAGACCCATAAATAAATATCCATGGGGAGGGACACACGGATGCAGCCGCACACGGAGATAGAGTGACAGATAAGGATATATAGGGACAGATAGAGACATAAGTGAGAGACTTAGACCCATAGAGAGATATGTATAGATAAATAAATAGGTATTTCAGCAAGTAGATAGGCACTAACAGGCAAATAGGCATAGAAATAACTAGAAAGTTACATCGGTATATGGATGCGTGCCTAGATGAATAGATTGATACATGAAATGCATATAAGAATGTATGGATATATGGATAAATGGATAAATGAGTAGGTGATATGGATAAATGGATAAATGGGTAGGTGGATATATGGATAAATGGGTAAACGGGTGGATGGATACAGGGATAAATGGGTAAATGGGTAGATGGGCAAATATGCAGATGGATAAATGGATAGATGGATACATGGATAAATGGGTAGATGGATTATGGTTACGTGGATATATGGATAAATGGGTAAATGGGTAGGTGGATATATGGATAAATGGGTAAATGGGTGGATGGATACAGGGATAAATGGGTAAATGGGTAGATGGGCAAATATGCAGATGGATAAATGGATAGATGGATACATGGATAAATGGGTAGATGGATTATGGTTACGTGGATATATGGATAAATGGGTAAATGGGTGGATGGATATATGGTTACAGGGATAAATGGGTAGATGGATAAATATGCAGATGGATAAATGGATAGATGGATAGATGGATTAATGGAAAAATGGGTAGATGGATATATGGTTACATGGCTACATGGATATATGGATACGTGGGTGCATGGATATATGGATAAATGGGTAGATGGATAAATGTGCAAATGGATAACTGGGTAGATGGACAGTGACACTGACTGAGGTTTTGCACTGCTGGGGCTCCAGCCCACGCAATTCCAAGCAGCCCAGTCTTCTGCCTGGTGCAGGAGGTTTTCCCAGACTCTCCGGCATGGGAAGGGGCTTTCCATCACCGCTGCCGTCACTGGTGGACACGAGGGGCCGTGCCAGCAGCCAGGGGGGGCGATTTCACGGGGGCACTGCCGGTGTGCTCCCCACACGCGGCTTTGTTGTCATCACGTCAAAGTGCCGCAGCGGTGACAATAAACCAGCACGCGGGGATGGCGGTGAGAGTGGGTCACGGGCGCCCCGGCGGTGACGTGACCCCCCCCACGGGCCCCCCAACCCCCTCATCCCTGGAGGTGACGCTCACCCATTCATCCCCACGCCGGTGGCCCCAGGGGATCCCCCCCACCCACCGGTGACGAGCGCCCACAGGTTCCCACACAGTCATTCTATCACACCGTGGGGAAGCCCCCCCTCTGTGCTGGGCTGTCACAGCTCCCCACCAGCTGAGAGGGTCCCGGATTGGGAACTGCAGAGCCCTGATATTTTAGGCTCAATTCACTCGATTTTGGCAGTAAAGCTGAACAGGAGCGTGGGACGCTGACCCACAGCGTATTTTCAGTGCCCTCCCCGGGACACTTCTGTCCCCTGCATCAGGCATCCACCACGTTCACACAGTGGCACAGACACACGTGGAATCATGCAAAGTGTGATGCAGGCACACGTGTTCATATCCTGGGGAAAGATCCCAGTTCCGGGTGGGTTTTGGGTCCTGACTCTCCCCAAATCACCCCGGCGCTGCCCCTCACCGCTCAGCCTCTCTGCCCTCCTGCTGCATCGGAGCATGAAGTGTTGCTCCACGCATCTCTGTGCCCATGGATTTGTCCTTGGGGAGTTTGTTTGTAGTTATTTACACTGGGGCTTGGGGGGAAGAAAGAAAATAAAAAATTAAAAAAGAAAGAAGAAATAAAGAAGAAAAGAAAAAGAAAAAAAAAAAAGAAGAAAAAGAAGAAAAAAGAAAAATTTAAAAAAAAAAAAAAAATAAAAAGGAAAAAGAGAAAAGAAAAATGTAAAAGAGAAAAAAGAAAAAATAAAACCAGAAAAAAAAAATAAAAATCCAAAATCCAAAATAAAAAATGAAATATAAAAAATACAAAATACAATATACAAAATACAAAATAAAAATAAAATTTAAAAAACAAAATAAAACCCAAACAAAATATAAAATAAAAAAAAAATGTTAAAAGCATTTAAAAATAAAAAGGAATAACAATATTTGGGGGAGGAAGGGGCAGTCAAAAACAATTTAGAAATGCTCCTGGAGCATTGCTGAAATCTCTGGACGTCCTTCTCCCACCCAGCAGTACCTGGCCTTGGGGGGGGCGGGGAATCCAGAGGGAGGGGGGTGGCATTTTAGGGCCACTGTCACCCTGTAACAGATGTGACGTTTGTTTAGGAAAGTGTCTCTGAAGGTGCGACAAGAGACGTTGATAAGTTGGGGTGGGGGGAGGGAGCCTAAGGGGGCCCCCTCCAGCTCTGACACCTTCCTGCCCACACGCGCTCTCGGTTGTGGGTGGGGGGGGATGTTTATCTCTGTGGTTTCCGCCCCCCCCCCCCCCCCAGCTGTGGGGTCGGTTGCTCACAGTGGGGTTTCCTCAGGCTGAGGTGTCCCGACGCGTGGGTAGGGGTGCAAGGCTGGGGGGGGGGGGGGGAGATCAGGATCAGTCCCCCGAGAGCGGGGGGGGCTGATTCACCCCTCCCCATCCCTCCACCGCGGTTTGATGCTGGGCCCCCCCCCACTCCTTTACCCCGTGTGGGCCAAATCGGGGGAGGGCAGGAGCGGGCAGAGGGGGGGGGGGGGGGGCAGCGGCATCCCCCTCTAAACCCCCCCCATCCCCAAACCCCCCCCAAAGGCGGGGGGAGAGGCGGGTGCCCCGCGGTGCCACCCCGGGACGTCTCCAGCGCCTCGTGTCCCACCCCCCCACCCCCACCCCGCGCCGGGCCCGATCCTGCCGCGCCGCCCCCCCAAAACCGGGGGTGCAGAGGGGCCCAATCCCCTCGATTTGCCCCCCCCCCCCCAAATTACACCGGCTGCTCTAATACAAACCAGCGCCGTGCAACCCCCCCGGCCGCTTCTCCACATCCCCTATACCTATAGATACCTATAGATACGCACCTATAGATCTGTGCCTATAGATATATACCGCCCGCAGGTGCCACCCAGCCGAGGGCACCGGTGTTTTGCTCGCTCCCCTGCACCCCGTAAGGCCCAGACACACACCCCCCCACCCCCAAGGTCCTTTCCCAGCTGGCGGCTGGTGGAATAAGTAAAATAAATTAAAAAAAAAAAAAAAAAAATGTTCAAAATTACGCGTGCAGGCTTGGCACAGCAGCCGCCGGCTGCCTTTATCCCTTTCTCTGTTAAAACCACACTTGCCTGCTGTGGTTTTGCTTTTTTTTTTTTTTTTTTTTAATCGCTTTTTTTTTTTCAAGATTTTTTTTAAATATTAAATTTTCAGCACAGTCCTGCGGAGAAAATTTAAAATCAACTTTTCCCGTCTCCCGTCAGCCCCAATTCCTAATGTTTTGTTGTCCGTTTGTTTGTTTGTTTGTTTGTTTTTTCTTTGTTCGCTGTCACTCCCGGGTGCATCTATCAACACCCCGAGATTTAACTCTAAAACCGCCGCGGAATTAACTTCGATGCGGGAAAAAATACAAAACGGCTTCGTATCGATTTATTTCCTTCCTGAGAGGGGAAAAAAAGAGTCTGGAAAAGAGAGTGAAAAAGCCGAGGTGTGTTCCGCAGGATTATTTTCAACCAGATTTCGTTAACCGCTTCGTTTTGCGGGCGAGAGAAGGAAAAAAAAAAAAGCTCCTCCGAGTGCAGAGCAGGTATTTAGTTATTATTTTTTCTTGTCGCTGCACTCTGCGGTGTCCTATCCTTTGGGGTTTTTTGGTTGTGTTTTTTTTTCTGTTTGTTTGTTTTGTTTTGTTTTTTTTCGGGATAAAATTTGTCTGAATTCCATCCTCTCCCTCCCAGGCTGGGGGGTCGGCTCAGCTCCTCACGGCATTGATTTTTCAGGGTGAGCACCTCCCCGCCCCACGACGCGATGCTCGGCACACAGGACCGGTATTTTCCCGCTGAAAGAGGCTGGATCCGGCCACGCACACGCAAAACCGACCACGGGATTATTTTTTAAGTGTTGTTTTTCCTAGAAGAGGCAAAGCCAACGCAGGTCCTTGAAATCATCTCTGCTCCTGGTGGAGCTGCTCGGGCGGTTTTAATCGGTTTTAATTGGATTTTTGCCTTTTTTTTTTTTTTTTTTTTTTTTTGTTAAGGAAACCGCTGATACTCAGTCGGAATTCAACGAAGCTTCAAGCAAAGCCCGGCTTTTGTCGAGAAAATCGCCAGGGATTTTGCAAGGCGTGGAGAGGGAGATGCGTGTCCAAACCCCAGCACATCTGGATACGCATCTGCTTTGAGAGAAGAAATAATAATAATAATAAAAAAAAAAAAAAAAGACATCGATATATTTAATTCCCCCTTCCTTCTCTGCATGCCGATAGCCCTACATCCATAAGAATATTTTTATATATACCCACATGCACACAGCGTGGTATAAATGACACTGTATTTTTAGGTATGGGAGTATATACATGCTTATATGTAACACACGCTCCCGTGTCCAACACGCATTAATTCCCGTCTATATGCAATGTTTGTATTGGTACGTATATAACTACATACTTATTATTACATATATATTTCACCTATGTGCTTAATGCATAATTATCTGCAACACACATAGCATCACCACTGCCGATATTTCCCCGTGCTGCATTTATTTGCCTGTAACTTTATTTCTATACGTGCCTATACCCACCTTCGTGCCTAGATTGGTGGATTTAGCTCCTCCACACACAGCCCCGCCGGGCTGGACCCCCCTTTTTTGGGGGTCCCCGTGCCCCCCCCCCTTCTCCAGAGTAACGGAGCCCATGACCCCCCGTGACCCTCCCAGCTTTGGGGCACCCCCCCTTCAATAAATCGCTTTCCCCTTTTTTTTTTTTCCCCCTGTTCCCTCTTTCATACAGAGATTTTTAAATTCCTCAGATATTTTTTTTTTTTTTTTGGTCTTTCTGAGACCCAAAAAGCCTCTACCAGCTTCCCCACCTCCCCCCCCCCCCCCCGAATTTTTCAAGGGGAGCCCCGGCGCCGCGCTGTAGGAAATATTAAGGGTGTGAGCGCTATTCCCGGGGAGCAGTGCTGTGGGGGTTCCCTCCGGGGGGGGGGGGGGGGGGAAGAGAGGGGTACCCAGCTTTAGGGATGGGGGGGTAACCCCCAAACAGGCTGGGGAAGAGGGGAGAGCAGCTGTGACCCCTCCACACACCGTGAAGGATTTGGGGCAGGAGCTTGGAGAAATCCCGCCCTGGGCAAGCCCCCCCAGGGAAGGGGGTCGCCTCCAAAGGGCTTGGGGACCTGGATGGGGTGGGGGGGTATCGTGTTCCCCCCTCTCCGAGGAAATACCCTTTATTATTTCTCTGAGCTGGGGAGGTGTGGAGCAGGGCTGCCCGGCTGGACTTTGCCTGCAGCGTGGGGCCGGCCGTGTGGTCATGCCCGTGCTGGTGCTTTGATTTTATTATTTTATTCTTTCTTTTTTTTTTTTTTTTTTTTTTTTTTTTTTCTTTTGCACAGCAATGAAACCTGGCGCCCGGCTGATGGTGCAACAGATACCAGCCCCCCCTCCCCCGCCTCTCTGCTTACCTCTCCCCCCCTCCCTCTCTCTTTTCCTCCCATCACCGCCCACTTTCACGTGACGTGGGCAAACCAGTCAGCGAGTGGGACTGGGGAGCCTGGCCACACTGGGGAGCCCTGGATTTTGGGGGGGGGCTTCTGGGGGGGTTGTGTAAGACAGAACCCCGCTGCCCCTAACCCCTCTCCACGAAGCAGGAGCAGGCGGGAGCCAGGCATCTCATAACCCTCTGCCTTCCCCGAAGCGAGGGGGTGTCCTGCCCCACGGCCTTGCCCCCCCTCCACCCTTTGCCCCCCCAGCTCCAAAGGTGGGTAGCGCTTCTCTGTTGTCCCCTTGCTCTTTTCCCTCGCTGTCACGCCGGGAGCCCAGCGAGCCCCTTCCCACAGGCCTCCCCTGAAAGCTTCCTCCTATTGTCTCCTCGGGCTTGAAAACACTCAATTTTCCTTTAAATTTTTTTTTTTTTTGGGGGGGGTTGATTTTTTTATTATCACCATCATTTTTAAAGCACGAGGGGAATTCACTCCTTTTTCCCCTCCTGTGGTTCCTGCTCCTCTTTGGAGAGTCCTGTGGAAACACTCCATCCTAGGCCGGTTACACACACATGAACCAACCTCTTCCTCCATCCCCTGGGTTTCGGGGGGGGGGGAAGCAGAGATCCCTTAAACCCCCTTCTTCCCAGCTCGCTTCCATCCTTACCCCTTCCCAACGCTGCCTCCAGCTTCTCCCTCTTTCCTCGGCCGCCTGCCGCTCTCTCCTCCCGGGTATCAGCCCTTATCTCCTGGTTATCTCTTCTGCTGCTAAATTCAGCCCAACGGAGGGGTTCAGCCTGGGGAATCTGCTAGTTAAATCTAAATCAGTCCCAAGAGTTATTTTTCCAGCCATAATTCCCCCCCCCCGGCCCCCCCATCCAGCCCTTCTCCGCGTGTGAGATGGTTTTCTAGGATTCCTGCACAAACTGTGGAGAAAGCAGCATCACAGATAATTTCACCTCCCTCCCAGACCTTTCTTGAGAAGGGTATTTCACCCTGGCCCCCCCTCCACAAGTGTTTTTTGGGGGTCTCGCCACATACAGGGCTCCCATGGCATCCCATGGCCTGCGCTCTGCCCCAAAACCAGCCGCCCCCCCCTCTTTTCCAAAGGAACTCAAATCAGAAACTAAACCAACACGGGAAAAAAAACCCACCGCACCCACTCTGCCCAGTGGCTTTGGGAAATGTCTCCCCATCCGGACCCACGGCGTCCCCAATCCCCCGTGGGTCAGCCCACTGGGCTTCCAGCTTCTCCCCACGAGGGAAAAGCAGAGAAGGGAGGGTGGGTTAAAAACACCCGGGAATAGTTTCGTGGGTGCTAATAGAGGCCTGCTGCCCATAGGCAAGTGGGTCGGGGCAGCATTAATGGGGGGATGCAGTGCTTAATGCCCCCCCCCTCCTCTTTTAAGCACCCAGCCTTTGCAGGGTACGGACACGCGTGGGGCAGGCACGGGTGGGGAGGGGCGAGCCAGCCTTCCTCCTCCTCCTCCTCCTCCTCTCCCCCCTCGCTTTCCCCACCGGCTGCCTAATTTAATTCCACACCACCCCCCCCCCCCCCTTCCCAACACCCCCCAGCCTCAGCCTCCGGGTCGCCTCCCCCCGCTGCCAGCCCCACATCAAACGCCGGCCCCGGGGGCCATTAACAACTTAAAGCACCGACCCTACCTGCGGGACAAAGGTTTTTGCGCTCCAGGCCCTAGGAGAAAGCATCGCTGTCTCTCACCTTCCCGGCTGCGTAACGCCCCCCTCGCCTTTTTCATCCCCCCCCCCCCCACCCCGGGACTGCTCTAACCTCCTTATCTCCTCCTGCATCCCCGGCTGCATCTCCCCCTGCCTCCCCCGGAGGTGTTGTTGGACGGGGCGGGCTGGGGGGGGGTGGAAGAAAGGCGGGGAGGAGACTGACCGAGGGTTTTAAGCAGCCCAGCCTCGTCGTGGAAGGGGGGGGGGTGGGTGGGGGGGGGGCGGGAGGTGATGGATGGAGCCCGGTGGGAGAAGCTAAATCCAGGCGGGAGCTAAATCTCTCCTCTGGAGGGACCTGGACTTCTTGCTTGGGGTCTCGAAGCGGTGGCCGGACCTGCTGAAGGTGGGGAAGGTGGGCGGTGGGGAAAGGGGGGTGGGGGGGGGTTGCGGAGGCGAATTGCATCGCCGGCGGTGGTTGGGTTTTGGCTGGAAGGCCGTGCCCACGCGCGAGACCGCTCTCCCGGCCACCGCTCACCGCCGGGGAAAGCGGAGTTTGGGGGTTTTCCACCCGCTCCCCACCGCTCTGGATTGCGGCCGGGGACCCGGCTGGGGTTTGGGGAGGCCCGTCGCGACATGTACCAGAGTTTAGCCATGGCAGCTAACCCCGGCCCTCCGGCGTACGAGGGGGCAGGTGGCTTCATGCACAGCGCGGCCGCAGCGTCCCCCGTCTATGTGCCCACCACGAGGGTCACCTCCATGCTCCCCAGCCTGCCGTACCTCCAGAGCAGCGGCTCTTCCCAGCAAGGCAGCCCCGTCTCCAGCCACTCCATCTGGACTCAACCCGGAGCCGAAAGCGCCGCTTACAACCCCGGATCTTCTCACCCTTCCGTGTCACCTCGGTTCTCCTTCTCCACCAGCACCCCCATCCCGGCCACCTCTTCCCGGGAAGCCGCGGCGGCTTACGGCAGCTCCTTGAACCTTTCTGCTAACGGGAGGGAGCAGTACAGCAGGGGGTTCGGCACCTCCTATTCCACCCCCTACCCGGCTTACATGAGCCCCGAAATGGCCACGACCTGGACTTCTTCACCCTTCGACAGCCCCATGCTCCACAACCTGCAGAGCCGAGGGACCCCCGCGGCCACCCGCCACGCCAACATAGGTGAGCGCTGCCACGGTTGGGGTAGGGGAGGGTGGGTTTCACCCCAAATTATTTCACAACGCACACACACCCCCCCCAAATTTTTGCCCACGCACCCCTCTCGGAGTCGCGCGAGGAGGCGCGAACGGGCAGGAGGGAGAAACTCGGCGGATTTAGGATGTCTCTGTCTCTGGCAACCACAGCACTGCGGGGCCCCCCCCCTCACCATCCCTCACACTCACGTTTTCTCCGCAAAACTGTCATTTCAAAATATCCTCCAGGATCACGGCTTCCAAAAGAAATGAATATAATTTAGGGTAGGCCTGGAGCAGTAAGAAATTATGTGCCAAGGGTCTGCTGGCTCCACGAGCAGCTCCGAGGGGATTTAGGGGCTGCGATGGGGGTGACCGTGGTGTGCAGGACCACGATGCCCCGTGGATGTGCAGGCAGCCCCTTCCCCAGCTGCCTCCGGGTGTAAAATGGGGAATATTTGTTTGGAAAATGGGGAAATCAAAGTTTGGCCCATGAATTCCAGATCTTCCCTTTGGGCTGGTTTATTGTTATGACAATTTGTTTAAATTTTGGAAAGGCTGGTTAGGCTAGAAAAAGGGAAAGAGAAGGGAAATTTAGGTCTGAGGGGGGAGGAGGAGAAAAAGAAATGTACCCACATTTATTATCATGCTTTTTGGGGGACTCGGGCCCATCTGAACAACCCAGCTCTGTATTTCAGTGTCTCCTCGCCCCCCCAAAATTTCAGCCCTGATCTCCTGTGCTGATCCTGATCTTGGAGCCTTTTATTTCATTAAGTGCCCTTAGGTCCTATGACCAAAAACCAGCCGGAATGGCTTAAAATATAGCTTTTAAATTTTGTATGGTGGAAGAGGGAGAATTGGGGAGAGAAATGCAGGGCACATCCTTGCATCATGGTTTCACAAACCCTTTTTTCCTCTGCGCCTTCTCTCCATAAAGGTATTCCCGTTGGCTTCGGGGTTGGGGTTAACAAAGAAAATGACTCAAATTTGTCTGCAGATACATTTTAAGATTGCGTTCTTTAACCTGAATCTCTGAGGGTAATTTTTCCATCACGTCTTGCAAGATTTGCTTTATCTTTGACATGATTTTAAGACGTTAAAGAAAGGAAAGTTGGGCGTCAGTGCAGGCTTGGCCTTGCCAATTCCTTTTGCTTTTCTTTGGGCATTATGAAAGTGCTTAAAATGGGGAACAGGTTATCTTTAAGGACAGCTTTGGCCAACCAGGCAATGTTTTTGGGAAGCCATGAGAAGGTAGAAAGTACAGGAAAAAAGCAAGATGAGTTGAATAATCAAATAATGGCTGAATATTAGCAAGGACATATGCGCATTCATATTTGACTACCTTGACAAAAAAAAAATATCACCTTTTTGCAGTGGTCTCAAAAGGACTCTTACTAATAAAAATAACTTAAAACCAAAATAATGAAAATGACAAATTGCAGTTGCAGAAATACCCGGCAGCTTTTAAGGTGCCAGAGATTGAGCGTAGTGATTTTGGGGTTTCAAGCCCTGCGTTAGGCAGTGGTTTGCATTGCAGGTCTCGCAGCCTAATTTTGGTGGCAAAAAGTGGTTTTTATCTGGGTTCTTAAATAGCACCGGGAAGACGGGATGCATTGAGCCAGTCCAGGAAACTTTAGCGGTCATTAATGAAGGAGGAAGGAGTCGGGACCCCCCTTCTATCCCCAGGTCCTGATTTGGGTGCTGGATTCATGGTATTGCCTTCAGCATCGCCCAGGGCAGCACGGCAGGAACCTGGGGGATTGATTAGGGTGAGTCTAATTAAGTGTCTGCCTTAAGAGTGGAAAAAGCACTTGGGTTTTATATAAAAAATGCTAGTTTTCTGGTAAAAAAAAAAAAAAAAAAAAAAAAGGAAACTGCCTGAAAGGTGGCTAGTTTTAAATTCAGGATTAAAATGCATTTTTCGGAAGGCAGTTCCTCCAGCAAGTGGTTTAAGGTCCAGACCTGCCCCTTTCCCTCCTCTCCCCGAGTCGGGACGCGGCCGCTGCCGGCTGCTCCCAGCCGGGTCCCTGCCCGACGCCGGGGCGATGCCTTGCTCAGGCTGCGGGTGTCGAGGGGTTGTATGAAGCACGACAAGGCTGGCTGGTCATTTCTGAGCAGAGAGAAGACAGATAAGTAATTTTTGTTGGGTTTTTTGTTTGGTTTTTTTGGTTGGTTGATTTTTTTTTTTTTTTTTTTTTTGATGAGAAAGGGTGAAAAGCCCCGATGGGCTGAAAAATTGAAGGCACTGAAAGATTTAGTGGGAGGGAAACACCACCGTGGATTGAACCCGTCACAGACCCACTTTAATAACGCATTTGAGCCTGACTCAGTCCCTGGTATGGTGGAGCCCAGACTCCTTCCTTTGTCTTTCCTTAGGGCTAAAGATATTTTTATTCTCCACACAATGAGGAATCTCAGGGTGGAAGCAAAATCCTTCACGCGAGGCTATATTAAATCAAGTGATTTTTGCAGCCCTCTCATTTCTCTCCAGCGATTTTACTTTCTGGAGAATCGTCACCTTTGGCCAGTGCTAATTGCAGCATGCCCCTGAGAATATTAATTATGATAATTTTTTAATAACGAAGATCAAATCTTTGCAGGTGTAGCTGGATATGCAGATACAGATATGAAGTCTATGCAATTGGACATGGCATTTTTTTCCCCGCTGTAAATCCATGTACTGAGGAAAGAAGTTTGGTGAAACTGTATACAAACATGATAGAAAATGGAAATTTTCTAATTTTTTGTAATAAGAGGAATTTTGGCCTGGGTTAAAACATGCCAGTGAAGCTCTGTGCTACAAAGTGGGAAGGATGGGTGCGTAAATCACATGGGTTTACTTGAAAATCTTTCCCCGGTGTGAGTTCAAAAATGCCAAATTTGAGTTTTTCAGGGTAAGTTTGTCGAGTGATTTCATTATCCTGAAGGGCAGGATCAGACCCAGCAGGGCCGAGGCCGTGAACTTGCTCCAGGCATTCCCTGGGATGGCTTTACAGTGAATTCCCGACTTAATGAGGCATGAAAAGGTCCGGCTGCAAAGTCCCCTTTCAGGACGCTTCCCTTCCAGCACCAAAAACTTCTTGAAAACTGTCCCAAAATTCACAGCTTGCCCCTTCCCCAGGCAGAGGGGAGCGGGGATTGAGGGCGGCATGGGAGCCCGAGCGCATCCAGCCCGCGGCCGCTCGCTGCCTCCTGGATGTTTCCAGCCTGGGAATGAAGGGCCAGATCCTGATTTGCCACCCCCACCCCCCTGTAATTTTGCTCTTTCCAAAAAAGCAGCGGGGCTTTTCTTTTGCCGTGGCATCGAGGAGGTGGATGTGATTGGGAGTAAATCGGGGAGAGGGGCTGTGGGAATTTCTGACGGGTGCTTTGCGTTTTGTTTTGACTCAGTCGAAGTCAGGGCTCCCTGAACAGGCACCGTTTGAACACAGCAGCAGCATCTGGGAAGATCAAAGCCTGGAGCAGACGCTTGGTTGGAAAATGTCTTCTCCACTGCTGGTGGGGGAGAGATTGTGAACCAGATCTTAAGCTTTCCCATAGGGATGCTAAGAGATTTGCCCTGTAGCATCCCCTGAGCAGGCATTTCCAGTGACTCATCGGCATTTGTTACTGACCCTCTGCCCTACAAGCAGCTCCTGACCTTCCCCAAGCATCTAAGGATGAGGTGGCTGCTCCCCGTGGGGCAGCGGGCGATGGGGGGGGGCCCAGCATCTCTGCTGTCCCTGCCCTCACAGGGATGGGACCGTGGGATGGAGGGATGGGGCTGTAGGATGGAGGGATGGGGAGGTAGGACAGAGGGATGGGGCTGTAGGACGGAGGGATGGGGAGGTAGGACGGAGGGATGGGGCTGTAGGACGGAGGGATGGGGCTGTAGGACGGAGGGATGGGGCTGTAAGACAAAGGGATGGGGCTGTAGGATGGAAGGATGGGGCTGTAGGACAAAGGGATGGGGCTGTAGGATGGAGGGATGGGGCTGTAGGACAAAGGGATGGGGCTGCAGGACAAAGGGATGGGGCTGTAGGACGGAGGGATGGGGCTGTAGGACAAAGGGATGGGGCTGCGGGACAGAGGGATGGGGCTGTAGGAAAAAGGGATGGGGCTGTAGGATGGAGGGATGGGGCTGCAGGACGGAGGGATGGGGCTGTAGGATGGAGGGATGGGGCTGTAGGATGGAGGGATGGGGCTGCAGGACGGAGGGATGGGGCTGCAGGACGGAGGGATGGGGCTGTAGGATGGAGGGATGGGGCTGTAGGACGGAGGGATGGGGCTGTAGGACGGAGGGATGGGGCTGTAGGATGGAGGGATGGGGCTGCAGGACAAAGGGATGGGGCTGTAGGACGGAGGGATGGGGCTGCAGGACGTGTCTGCATTTTACACGGGACCCTACATCCCCTGTTTTGCAAGCGGTTGCATTTCTCACTTCGGCTCCGCCGGCGGGGAAGGTTGGCCCAGGGCTTTGTTCCCCCCTGCAGGTTTCAAGCCACATTCTGCTCTCCTGCTTAATTTAATTGTCACCAGTCAGTCTGGGATTTGAGATGAAACTCACAGAATTAGGGTTTCTAATCTCTGAGCAAGATCAAGCTCCAATACGCAACTGATTAGTACCCTCCAAATCCCCAAACAGTATATTTTATATTGTAAATGAAGCAACTATAATAATAAAAATACCACCATCATGGGTACTATATCACCCTTATTAATAATACAATTCCTCAACTGAAAATTGTACTTTATTGACAAATACAAATGCGTAAGTTGCATAGAACAGCCATGGTGTAGTATATAATACATTAGAAATGCTCATGAATTTTTGGAAAGCAGTGCAACTCAAGTCAGTAGATAGTGGCACTGAATCTAAGACTTTATAAAGCCAGGATTAATTATTTTTCTCCTCCGCACATGTGCTCATGTATGTGTCTTTATCCCTGTAACAATAACAGCAATATTTTTTTTTAAGAGACAGCCTATGTTTTGCTCTCTTCATATTTA